TTTTAAGTTTTTATTTTCTTATAATATATTATTTTATTGATTTTTATTTTCTATAATGTGCACAATAGTAATACCAACTGTCGCAAAATTTGAAATTACTTGCTAACAATAAAAGTCTGATATATTTTAAGTGCTTTCTGTCAAATTGACGCCCCGTTTAAGGCAAGCAATTGCAGTTGGACTAGCTAAACATTTTCTATGAAAATTTTCTATAAACACTTTCTAGAAACATTTCATAAAAACATTTTCTATAAACATTTTCTATTAAACTGTATTATATGCATTATATTTTATTATTTATAGTATGTTCGAAATAAAATACAGAATGTTTAATTAAAAAGAATAACACAAATGCATCTCAGCTTCTTACATTTACTATTTAAAGAAAACTCATTAAAATTTTAGTATAGAAAATTGCTTCTAATTACTATAATTACTCATTTAACTATAAACTTAATATTTTTTTACTTATAAGTTATCATTTTCAGTAATTATCTTAATTGTTACACATTTATTAACTAAAATTCTGTACGTAACTTAAGAGGAGCGACCAGTTAATATCCCGGCGCTACTCATGTACGAAGATCATGTTATGCTTCATGTTATAATTAAAATAATGTATACAATAAAAATTAATTTTTAAATAATACAATATATATTTTATTTATATATTATACAAAATAATTTTATTTCATTCCAATATTCAAAAATCATACAAAGAAGTACATCAAAAAGCTATTGCGATCTAAAAATCTATATCATAAATCAAATAAATAATATATTTTGTAATGATGCAATCGTTCAGCCATAAAAGTGCTGACACCTTACATCTGCTATCGATATAGAGCAGCAATTTACTTATAAGTATTTACATCCAATTGCTTTAGAATTAATTATTTTCTTATAATTGAATATATTCGAACTTATTCATTCAATGATCAAATGAATTCAATAATCCTATCAACTATAAATTAAATAGCATTTCATTACATATACATTTAAACATATATATATATTACATACACTACTTACAAATTTAATCCAAATCAATTAATTATTCAAAAGACTTTTTCTGAGTTTCCTGTTACCTTAGATTTAGCTAATTAATTATAATGTATGCAAGACATATATATATATATATATATCCAATACCATGGTTCGTTTTTGCGTCTTAATTATTAAGAATATTTAATTTTTAAGTATTCATATGACTCTATGAGTCAGTTTTATTAATAGTTATTAAAAATATTGAACGATCCATATAAAAAATTATTAATAAATATAATAAAATTCATAAATTATAGGTAAGCTAGGAAATTCACATGAAATGGTAAGATAAGGTTTGGGAACACCTAATGTGATTTGCAAAGTGGAAATTAAAATAAATAACAAATAGTTTTTGAAAGCATATGCAAATCAATTTTTTTTTATTAACGAAGTAATAAAAATAACGAAATAATAAACAATTATTGCTATTATATTTAGTATGGTATTTCAAAAAATTTAATTATTATGCATGCAATGCACCGTGTAACCAGGTATACTTACAATTTTCTACAATTGTAAAAGTATGTAACACTTGCATATAAAAATGCATTAAAATTTTAAAATACGAGTATTAATTACATTACTCATAACTATATTGAAGATTAAATCAATTAGATATATTCATTATTGATTTAATAAAATTTTAAGTTGGTACTAAATTAATTTGCCATTTTATTTGAATTTTGGTTTTTTAACCGGCTTGGGAACACGCCTTGTATTTGAAATACTTGAGCTTAAAATATAAAACGATTATAAACTAAATTATATAGTTATATGTTAATAAAAATGTTTTAATTTTCGTTAATAATTAGTATATATGACTATAATTAATTATTAATTCAATTACTTAAGCAGCTGCAAGCGGCACCTTAAGGTTAAGCTTACTGCAATACATACAATGACCTGTAGTTTTATAAATAAATCATAGATTAGATTGAAGATTATAAAGACTATGTAGTTCATTAACGACCTGATGAACAATTGAAATAGCAGGGGTTAGTACAATTGACAATCTGAGTCGAGGTGTATTGCACTTCCCACTTCATCAATAATAATCATAATAATAATAGTGTTTATTTTAAGGTAAGTATAAAAATTTGTTTCTTTAAACTTTAAGAGACATAATATATTTAAATTGGTTTAAATAACTCTCTTAGTGATGTCTCCCATACCTCTCCCGTACAATGTTGTAGTTATTTTTATGAAATACATTATATATAGAGACTATTGTTTTGAGTTCACTAGCTGTTAATAATTTGTTTATTATTTAAAGGTTTTAGAAATAAATAAATATATAATTATGCAAATATACAAAAAAAACAATTTTTATAAGAGCAAATGCATTTAAATAACGAATACATTATATGTATAATAATTTATAAATAGTAAATAATAAAAACAAAAGTAAAGTTAATTGAGTTAAAAGTTAATGCAAGAGCTTAATAGTTTTTAAAATAATATTATAGAAAAAATAGTTTATAAATATTTTAAATTTATATATTTTTATACAATAGCACTAATGGAAAAATGCCATATAGTTGTAAAAATTGTCAGCAGTAAAAGTTTTTCATTATGTTTTTTTAAATAATATTTTTGATTAGTAATAATTCAAAAATTCATAAAAGATTTTTATAATAATTTAATTTTTTTTTATATATATTCAATTTATATTCATTTTTGTTTAAAAATGAATTTAGTAGAAAACGTTATTTAAGTTTTTAGTCAAATAGTCTTTATCTAGAACTTTTTGTTCTAATTAAATGTTGAACTTTAATTAAGCAAAAACGTTAATACATATAAAAGATTAATATAAAAGATTAATATAAAAGATTAACACACATTTTTATATAATTGTTAATGTCAATTAATTACAAGTATCAGACACACATGCACTAAAAAAATTCCATCAAAAAATAAAACTTTTTGAACTTTGATATTTCAACGTAACTATTACAGATTTTTTAATAAATAATTTTTTTTTAAAATTATATTTCATGTTCAACGCACATGTGGACAATTTCCTGTAATTATTTTTAATTTTCAGTCATTTTTTTTGTAAATGAAAATTTTAGTTTCTGAGCTATTATTTCAAAATAAATTTTGTTATTGCAGGTACTTATTATATACATTATTATATACATAGCATGTATAATATAAAAATTCTTTCTGGGCCATTTGCTATTATACTCATACTAATTATAGTATGGACTTATGAATGCTGTTTTTTTTTTAGAATTTATTTCAAGTTGTTAGTCTAAAATCACAAAAAATATTTTTTTTAGATTTAAATTTTGAAAAATAGCAAAACATAATTATATGGTTGAATAAATATTGATTTTTTATCATTATGAAATTTTAAAAGTTTACATTATTTATTTGTATAGTTTCTATAACAGATATTAATATTTAAATAAAATTACAGGCATATAAATAAATAGTACTAATAATTAATAAGATATAAATATTCAAATTTTTTTTTATATCTCTCTTTAAATATTTTAGCTGTATATTTTTATAAATATTCAATATAAAAATTATTCCTGATATTTAATCGAAATTAGCTCCATATTTTTAAAAAAAATTTACTATAAAAATTATTACTAATATATCATCGAAATTTTGTACCTCATAGCACAGTACTAGAACATAATTTTAAGGATTGGATTGAATTAAAAATAAAAAAGCAGTTATTATTAAGAGCAAATATTGTACACTGTGACCTATGAAATTTATCTATTAAATTTTTAATAATAAAGATAATATAGTCTACTAATCTGATTTGGATGCATATTAGCTCATATAAGATCTTTTCAAATACTTAATATTTATGCTGTGTTTGTAGAACATCCAGTAATTGGATCATAATACAGTATATATAAAAAATCGATATTATCATATAATAATTCAATAATAATTTTATAAACTACATTATTATATCTCTAACTTAATAATTGGTTGCTGCTAGATATTTTCAATCGCATCTGTCATATAATTAAATATATTAGATACCAAATAGTTTTACCATGTTAAAATCTTGCTATAATGTCATACCATAAAATAATAATTTAATTATAAATACTTAATTTAATTTTTAAATTTAATTATAAATTATACTATCCCTGAATAATAGGCCTATGAATGTTTTAACTGATACAGTCTAATAGGTGAGTATATGGGTTACCAAATAATTCTATCAAATTAAATAGACAGTAGTTGTTAAATTCTTATTTTTATATTATAAATCAGATTATACCAATGATTTTAAGAATCCACTTAGATATATAATGGACCGAATAAAACTCAGGGGATCCAAAATCACGTTGAGCTCCCAGCAAAGGTTAAAAGGCGATTTAAAGGGAGGTTTTCATTGTAAATAGTAAATCGTTTGCATGATTAATCACCATTGCGCAGATATACGACACTTTTTTGTCTTTTCCACAATTGTGACAGGAATTATTAATTAATTCAATATTCTATTTTAGCATCCAAAACGCTATGATCCGGCAATAAACGTATACCCCAACACTGATATTCTTACGGAGCAGCTCAAAGAAATTGTTCGATTTTTTTAATATTTTTTAACATAGGAACTAAATTATAATTTAATTAAATATATTATAATAATATATTATTAATTAAAAGTTCACTCAATAATCTATCTTAGCTCCTAAAACGCTATGACCCGGCAATAAACCTACCCCAACACTGATATTCTTACAGAGCAGCTCAATAAAATTGTTTAATGTTTTTTTAATATTATTTAATATAGGAACTAAAAAAATAAATTTATAAAATATATTTTAATATCCTTCATACATAATTCGACATTATTCTATATAATTTTTGATGTCTAGTTGATTAGTTTCAATAAAAAATTATTAAATAAATAATAATAACAATAAAGAAATAATTATTAATTATTAACTAGAAATAACAGTTAAATAAAAACTTACCTTATTGACTTGCTGCAAAGTTTCTAACATGAGCTCCTTTTCCAATACAGAATCTAATGCCTGTACTTGATCGCATGATGCTTTGGCTTGCAGATACGAGGAAGCCAAAATGAAGAAGCCCAATACAAAGGACGATACAATAATCGTAAAAGCAGTGATTTTGGCGATTTTCACTGAATTCGATTGACGCTTGTAGGCCTGTAAAAATTATATATAAAAAAAATTTAGATAAAAAGTTATTCACATATAGAAAAAAGTTAATTTTTTTTTAAACTACAAGCATATGCAATAACTAAAAAGATGTAACTACACAAATTTTACTTGAAGTGTAATTTAAGTGTAACCTTTAAAAAGCAATCGAATACCACGTTTTAACCTTGCAAAACATGACAATAGAAATTAAAGCCGAGAAAAGTCATAATGCAGCTACAAAATGTGTTAGGTTTTTGTTAATATTTTGTAGTTAAATAAAAATTAAGATTTCGTATTTTAATGTAAAGATTGAAATTCAAAGTCACTAAAAAGCAATAGCGAGAGAAGCAGTACAAATAATGTAAACTGAGACTCATAAACTAATCAACCTTAACGCTCGAGTGAAGTCAATGCGCTGCCGTAAAAATGACAAGATCATGACTGCGAAAAATGATTTCAAAGATGCAATAAAAAACTGGCGAATCGTTAATGCAAATTGTTAATGTTAATTTATGTGCAATAATAAAAAAAACTAATAATGCTAACTGAAATGGTGTCACCATGGCAGAGTGTCTGTCCGCCACATTAATTGTTGCAACAAAGCAACAAAGCAGCAAAGTGCACTCTACAAGCAACGAAGTGCAGTGAGACAATTTCGTATTTAATAATTATTTTTATTTTGAACTCATCAATTTTGTGGATAGTTTCTACTTGCCAGCTTAAGTTTATATATTATATTTTTTTTTGTTACTTAATGCTGAGACAACGAAATTGTTTTAAAATTTCGAAAACGTTATCAAAAGAAATTCGCCGTTCGTATCTCAAGTTCAAGTTAAGTTTAAGGTGAAATTTTAGAAAGCAACAAATATTTTTGTTTTTCAAAATATTTTTGTTTTTGGTTGTGATTTGCATATATTTTATTATTATTTATTTTTACTTGTATTTTTATTTTTATTTTGTATTTTATTTTTTTATAATGAGGATTTTTCGAACAATAGTGAAACTACAACAACAAAATTTTATTTTATATTATTTTAATTAATTGAATTTTTGCCTGATCATACAGCTGTTTAGAATATTGCCAAATACCCATCATCAATGGTCTAGGAAATAGTTCTTGTATTTAATTATTTGTCAATAATTATAATTCGTAAATAATTTTTTGAGACTGCAAGTACCAGGAATCGAACTCGTGTCCTGCCAACTGACCCAAAGCCGTACTTGAAAGTTTTATTAAAAAATTCACTTGCTGTATTTATATTAGAACGAAATCATAAACTAGCTGTAGAATAATTGAATTAATTAATTATATTTTTATATTTAATTGTTAAATTTCAATACTATTCTATTTGTAGAGGCAAATAATGTTGCATATATTTTTTGATATATAGATTTTTATTATTTATCTTATTTCATTATATATGTTTAAGGTTTACTGACTTATTTTTTTACATATATATATTTTTATATATTTATTTAAAGAAAATATTTACTACCATTTTAACATTCCTAAAGTTAAGTTCTGTAAAATTTGTTTTGAAAAAAAAAAGAGATTTTATATTTTTAGAGAACTGATGTGCTTTACTAATTGCAGTTAATTTAAAATTCTTTAAGTATTTTGCTGTTAAGATAATAATTGCTTTAGGATTTATGGTTGCTGTCACGGTGACCACAACATTGATTGGTAAATGCCAACAAGTGATTTCCTGCTTCAGCTTGTAATGCTTCAGGTAGCTCAAGCTCTCAACTAATTTGCATTAAATAAAAATGCAACGAAATGCATATAAAAAACTATAGTGTTTCCAGTGACAGGTTGGTTTCGCTGATTAGTGACGCTTGGCATTCTAAAGAAGTTGGCTAACTTGTTGTGATTGTTAGCACAATGTACGTCATGTGTGCTTCTATGCCAATACCACATCAAATGCGGATGTGCATTAATCAATTTTGTTCTTACACAAAATTCTCATAGATACTGTTAATTGAGTTTATGGTAGTAGTAATGATGGATTGAAAATATATAAACTTAAATGCTACAGACTTATGACTTCCGTTTGGTAGAGACTTTCCTTTAATTTCTTTAAAATTTAGGTTAAAATTTTAGTATTCGAAACGAAATGTACATTTTAAGATTGATGACTCCTGTCTGAATATTTAATGAAGAGAAACCTTTTATAATCAATATTATAAAGGTTATTTTTTTTTAAATTTAAATATGAAGAGTTAATAAAGTAAATACACATATATATGGTAACTTCTACTAATAGTTTCTTTCTTTTTCCATCCTTTATGAAAAACATTGCAGTTAAATAGCTTTTGCAATATCTGTATTTATTATATGGTAGCCTGTTCAAGCTGGAATCTATGATAATGAATAAACGGACGTATTGCAAGAACCGAATTAGTCATACAATTTTGTGAACCAAAGCTTTATTTTAAAATTAATCGTTCAAAAACTAAGAATCAAATTGAAATTTAGAAGAAAACTAAATTCCGTTGTTTAAGGAAGTTTAAGGAACTGGTCTTCATTACAAGTATGACTCTTCTTAATAATATAGAAAAGGAGTTGCAGGGAATTTAGGACACATCTTGGCCTAAATTACCATCTTGACAGGATTGGTTTATCGCATATGACAGAATCAAATCATCTCTGCCTCGAAGGGAATAGGTTTTTCTAGTCATATTTTTGGTGATTGTCCGAGATAGTAGCTGAGATAGTAGCTTATACTCTTATCTGATTTTAAGAACTCTTCAATGAAGAATATTATAATAATGTCTGTCTAATAATGTAAGTTGTCGGCTTGAAAGGTATTAAATTGTCATTTATATTTTTTTGACTTTTCTGGTTAGTAGAAAGATATTGAGTGAGAGAACTTCTAGTATCTAGTATATGGGTTGGCATGGAATACACAAGATAGCAGAAGTCCTGGTGCGCCAGCGAAAACGTTTATCATATAAATGATAAAATCATTTACTAATAAATACAAATACATTAATAAATAAATTAATTTAAATATATAAAATAAATATGCTAACCATTGCCCTCTTAATATTCATTTTGCTTTCTTTTATTTTAATTAATTATTTTTTAGTCTTTACAAATTTTGTATAACATATTGTACTCAACAAAATCAATATGTCAAAAATAAGCATTTAATATAATTTAAAAGTGATGCCAATTTGTCTCAACCAGACTTAATGCTGTTTTTTTATAACTCTGAAAGTAAAGATTACGTTTAATGACTAAATTTTTGTAGTACTTTTTTATATGGAATTTTATGTCAATTTTTCGCGCGAAATTGATGTTAATACTAGACTTTACGTAAAAAGTATTTGTATTTCAGAATTTTTATTTATTTATTTGTTTTAAAAGTGATGCCATTTTATTTCAACCAGACTTAATGCTGTTTTTTTTACAACTTTGAAAGAAAAAATTATAAAGTTTAATGCCAATTTTTCGCGCGAAATTAATTCAATACTACCCTTGACGTAAAAAGTCTTTGTATTTAAAATTTTTTTTTTCATTTATTTTAGATATAATTATTTATTATATTTGAATTAAATATTTTTTTGCCAATATTTTAATTGCATTGTATAGTGATACATACATCAATAGTAATATATTTTATTTGATATATCTTTAATAATCTTTAGATTGTTAGATTGTTTATTTTTATAAAAATTTTGTAAATGAAAAGTGTATAAAAATATGTAAATAAAATTTTAGTTTAATGATTTATTGAAAGATGTGTTAGCCAGGAAGCAATTTAATCACATGCATATTTGCACAAAATAAATACTGAGATGCTAAATTGAATTGTTCAATTCAACGGTAGTTCAGATAAGTTATATATATAAAAGTCATAAATATATTATATGCACATTTATTCATGTTGTCTAAGGAATTTATTGAAAGCATACATAAAATTTAATTGTTAATTGTTGAAATGCTGTTAATTTTATTGGAGGCAGTATAAATTGGCAATTACCTCAACGTATTCTTTTATTGTTGTTCGATTGTAGAATTTGAATTTGAATTTGTGTTGTGTTGTGTTGTGTAATTGCGCCAAATCAATTTCATATTGAAAATTATTATGGAAAAAAAATAATATAATATCAACAAAGCTATTTTTCAATTAACAAACGTAATATTGCAAATTTCGTAAGCTTTTTTGGCAGCAGTGCGAAATTTAAAGTCAACACTTCAAGAAAGGCAAAGGCACTTACAAAAACCACGTCAAATCTTGGGTTCCATAAAGCATAATAACGCGTTTGTTATGCAATCCAAAAAGTAACTGACAAATTATTGAAAAATCCAAAATCCGTACGAAATTGTACATTTATTTGCCAAATGTTTAGAATGTTATTATGAAAGCAAACAAACTTCATTTACTCGCAAATGCGAAATTTAACACAATTGGCACTGAGTTTGCGGCGGCGCGACTTGACACTCCTTTGAAATTCGCAGTCTTTGGAGATGTGTGAAAACTACACGGAATTGTTTTGAAGATGCAACGACGAAGGTGCGTGTTTGGTTTGTTTGTTGAGCTCATGCGATGAATATGCCCTCAACTTTATTTAACATACAATTGTCATCGTAAAATAATAAATAAAATATAAAATAAATAAACGAGAGATAATAAAAGATACTCAGATGTGTATGAAATAAAATGTGACTTGTTTAAAAGCTATAAGCTATAAGCGCAAAATATGTAAGTGAAGGCTTTGCGAAATTTATGCAGACGTGTTATATGCAATTTTGTGCTGGTGTAGATGTTGGTTGGTAATCTGTGATGGTGAAAAGGTGCAAAGTGTTGAAATCTTCGTAAATTCGAAAATAATACAAAAATTTTGTAGAAAGTAGCACACAACTCATGTGACAATAGCGGTGCAACAGTTTTAGTGAGTACAGTGACTACAGTGATTACAGTGACTATGTTGACTACAGTGCATTTCAAATGTGTTACAAACAAAAGACTTAAGTGACAAACCTGATGATTAAAGTTAAAAAATCCCAGCTGCAAATATTTTAAACAAATAATTCATTCCAATTCATTTAATTTTTTTCACCGTTGTTGTTTGGATTGGGTTGGGTTGGATTTCAAAATGGTTTTGATGTTGTATGGATGCAGTAAATACGATACATTCATTTTGTTTTTTGGATTTTTGTAATGGTGTTGATTTTGGTTGTCGATATAAATAAAACCAAAAAAAAAAAAAAACAGAAAAACACAATGGAAAAATAACACATAACATCATTTAATTTATATTGACTTTTGTTTAAAATTATATAAAAAGTGTTAATAAGATATTCAAAACTAATAATAAATATAAGACGAGCTTAAGATAATGGATTTTTTTTGTTTTTCAGAAATTAATAGCTGTTATGATTAATGAGTTAATTTAGTTAAGCTGCTTAAATTGTTTTACTTTATTTTTTTAAACAAATAAATAAAAATCTTAAGTATAAAAATATTTAAATTAAAAATTACGAAATGTTATTATGATGTTCTAAAAATTTTGTGTTCTAAACATAAATTGGTTCTTTAAAGTGAGTAAAACTAATAAAATAATCTATAATTCAATAACTGCAGAAAAGCTCAAATATGGTAGTCTGGTATTGTAACTTTACGTTTTGGTGATGTGTGTTGTTCATCACTACACTTGTCATCACTATACTTTTCTTTGTGAGATTATGGAAAGGATTGGGTTTAGGTAGACAAATTTTAACCGCTTTATAACTGAATTTCCATCAAGTTATAGCTAAACTATTACCAAATATTTGTCGGCAAGTCATCGAAAACAGTCTCAAAAGGATCCAGTATAATACTTTCTTTTATTGTATATTATAAGGTCCCAATTTCACTATAAGAAGCTATATGAAAGACATTTAAATGATATTTGTACATATTTCATATCTAACGACTTATTGATTCCAAAGAGTATAAGAAAAAAATCTTAATCAGAATTTCGTTTAATTTATGTTTACTTTTGTAACCATAAAAGGGTTAAACCCTATATCTACATAAGCTTATTAATTAAGTTATAATCATTAAAATATTCCCAAAAGTGCTGAAAAAATTATAAATTATTATAAATTATAAATTTTATATTATTTAAACATTGTAATGTTTTATAACTTCTTTTTGGTGTACTGCAGCTTAGTTGTCGGTAATTTATTTTGAGAGGAGAATTATAGAGAATCATGTGAATATTCTGGTACCTTAAGTGATTATGGGACATTGTATTCTAATGATACTTACTAATGGTAAGTCTATTTTGCAGAGTATTATCTAATATAACAAAAGCATAGCCGAAATAATTGAAGCTTTGAAATTACATCATGTATATGTAATTATGTATACTCATATATAATATATATGTATATATATAATGTATAATAATTAAAAAAAAATCTCGTTTTATTTAGCCCTGGAGCTTTATTAGTTATCTATATCTTTAGCTGAGGTTTTTATGTGGTACTTAGTACAACCCAATTTATTATACTCCAAATATTTATTAATCTAATTATTTAGCTATTCTAATAAATACCAAAACAATTTAATGCTTATAACTACTGATATTTAGCTGCTGTATCTTTTTTAGTTATTTATTCAACTAATATATTTAAAGGCTTATGTGTGGTACTTAGGGTCACCCATTTCAATATATATTTATTATTCTAATTATTTAGCTATTCTAAAAAAGACTTCTATAATTAAATAGTTGTAATTACAGAAATTTTGCGATTTGAAAATTGTAGTTTGTAAATATTCCCTAAATATTTATTGATCCAATTATTTAACTATTATAATTGATACTAAAAAATAATATAATACTCCTAACTACTGAAATTTAGCTTCCTTAGCTACATCTTGAAATGATATCATTAAAGACTCCATGGTTTGTGTATAACTAAAGTATTGTAATTATACAATTTAATTAAATATATTAAAATATAATATAAATTAATTTTAAAAAAGGGTATCTGTTGTTCTAGGTGCTCAACGTTTTGAGATAGTGAGGAATATACAAGAGTGCATAGAAAAATTGAACAAATTAATATTATATTTACTTCCTACACAATTAATAAGCTTTCAAATATCTTTAATGAGATATTAAAAAATTATAAATAATTTTTCCTACCCACAGTAAAATTCCAATTTGAAAAATTCATAAACAAATAAATTTCAGTTTTAACTACAACAATGAATTGTGATTGTGTGGCAATACTGTGAAGTGTAAAATTTTCTGCTTTACTGCACAGAGTAACCAGTTTGTGGGTACATGGCACCAATGTCGTAAGTTTCGGTTTCGAGTTATCATGATGAAAAAATCTACTTTGTAAATCACTTCTATATTAGCTGAGTGATTTTTTTCCAGCTCTGTGTATTTTTCACAAATATATGCATACACTGTGAAGTATCTATAAATGTGGAAATATTTTTTCAATTATTTTTATAAGTTTTTTTCTAATTTATAAGAAAATTGAAATGTGGTGTAAAGTAAATATCAAACGTGACTACGAAATTAGCAATGAATTCAAGTTTTTTTTTTTTTGTTTTACTATGCAAATAATACAGTACTAAAAAATATTAAAAATTTAAATACGGCTTGAATCTCAAATTAGTACAAATCTATTTGCACTTCGTTGAGAATTAGTTCAGCTCGTTTCCAGCATAAACTTCTAGATACAAGTTTATAAATGCAAATTGAATGTTAGCAAAGCTAGAATATAAAGATGAGAAATTGTAAGAGGGTGTCGTCACTATTCCAATATCTAGAACAATTTCTTCTGTAATTATAGTTTTCTAAACTACAGTTCTTATATAAACATTTATAATTTATTTTAATAGCAGATGATAACTGAGTGATTGAAGACTCTATATAGAGAAACGCAAAGGGTAATCATTATTTATGAAATGGTTTTTATTGTAATTTTTATTAGCATATCAAATTGCAGTAATTAAAAATTATCGGCAGAGAAAATCTTTATTTTAATTGCTAAGCTTTTATTTTATGTATAAAATATATTAATATGCGCAATAAATGCGAAAATATTACCGGAATATAATGAAATTTTTCTAGAATAATGGAATTTCCCAAAATATTCTCTATACGGAATACGATACAATGATTTCCATGCAAATTTAGACAGACGCCAGCAACAGTTGCTGTCTTATCTGAGCGCTACTTGAATTGTAAATTAAGTTACCAAAACATATAAAGTGAATATGTTGTCGATAAAAACGTTGTTTTCTTAGTTAAATAAAAAACTACTTCTGTTTATGTAAATAATAAATGGCATAAATATGTGAAGATGTACAATATTTGCTGCCCTGGTGCCACAAACCTAACTGAAGGTGAGGTTTTGTATGAAATCTCATTGCATACAATATGAAATCTGCTGAAAAAGCAAAGCATAAAGACTCACACAAATGAACTCGCGAACTGAATGACAATTATTTTGCAATTTTTAAAATTATGTGCATTGTTAAAGACCTTTCAGTTAAATTGTTTTTAGGCTAAACACGCTTTTTAGTAGCTGCACAGTAGCAGAAGCAACAATAAATAATGTTGCAATCACGTTTTTGGGTCTCATATGTTGCTGACGTTCAGCTTCAATCAAGTAAAATCCGACTCTGTAAGATAGTTCATTGCAATACGTTTAACTGCCATCAAATGCACCCACCACACGCTTGCCTAAACTTATCAAAATTCTAATTAAAATACTAGTCATGTACTGCAATCAGAACAGAACTGCATTGATGCAATTTATGAATATTGCAGTTGCTACTGTGCATGCCGCTACCGGCAGCAAAAATAATCACGTTTTCTGTACTCAGTCATCTTTAAGATACAGAATTTGGAATTCATATAAAACATTTAATAGTATTCACATATAAAGTGAACACCAAACAAAAATATATTCTTTAATAGCGCAAAAAATTAAAATATTTGAGGAATTCAGAAAATAAATTAAATAATATTATTCGCTTATTACTTTCTGGACACCTTAGGTGACTTTTAAACCTCAAAAGGCATGCGTAATGCGAAAACGTATCTTTAATGTCAACAAAAATATGTTAATGATTTTATTTTGAAGCCAAAACAAGACGTAGTTTCAGTTGACAAATGTACTGAGTCATGGAGTATGGTTGGGAAGAAAACTGAAAGTGGTTTATTTATCATTCAAATCGTAATGAATACTCAAACAGTGCCATTTCCTTTCGATTTGCTGATGTGGTTTCGAATTTCCAGCTAAAAAATGCCTGTCTAATAAATCTTTCTTTTATCGTTTTGAAAGTGACTCAGTAGAAACTGTTTGATATTTTATATTTTAGTTTTTATGGGGTTTAACATTTTTGAATTATGGTTCAAAGCTTAATGGATTTCAACTTTTAAGAAAAAAAATCTCTGAGTATTAAATCTTTTTTTTTTTTTTTTTTCAGTTGAAAGTGGGTCTGTATGTTGTTGTGAAATATGATTGCATAGGGATTAATAACAAGTAAATAAGTCCAAAGTTGAGGATTTGTTAATGTTTAGCAAGTATTATTAGTTATATATAAATAAAAAATTTTAACTTAAAATTATCTTTAATTTATAGATATGAGTACACGTGATTTAGAAAAAATTAATTTGAATTTGCAGAACAGCTGTTGAGTGTATGATATCAAATTCCGCAAAAATAAATTAAATAAATATGAATTATTCACTGGAGTCTTATTACTTTTTTTTTAACTAAAATTATTGTTTATTACATCTGTTTTAAAAGTTCCACAATAGTTATGAAAATAAAATATTTTTGGAGTCATACTTTTCTTAGAATAAATTGCTAGTCTGTAATATAGATTGAATTCTTTTGATATTTGTTTATTGAGATATATATACACATGTATATATATCGAACTATATTATGAAATAGCATAATAGTTAATTATTACAATTTTATATTCTATAGCATTCTATACATTCTATAAAATCTCAAAAATAAATGTTGATCTCCCTAAAGATAATGAAGTATCAATAAATAGATAGCAAGAATTTTAGATAGGGAGTGGATTATTCTACAAAGGTTGGTATTAAATAAACCTAAATTGAAACCTAATAATTTGACGTAAACTATTTTATAAGAAGGTACAAGAAATGCTTAAGA